GAGAGAGAGAGAGAGAGAGAGAGAGAGAGAGAATAAAGGCTCTTGAATCACACAAGTGAAAGCAACAGTAGAAAATGCCCGACACCTTCTCCCTCCTTTCCAATTTCTTGGCCAGAGAGAAATTCAACTTAGCCACTGCTGCCAGAGGCTCCAGGACCTGCAGGGGGCTTGCCCACGCGCTCTGCTCTGTCTCAGCTACTAAGGCTCATGGAGCTCACACTCTTCTGTCTGACTCCTTCTTCACATTTCTATTACTCTTTACAACCACCAGTCCAGAACCTTCTTGAGAAAAGGGACCTGTCAGGTACCTTGGAATTCTGGCCCAGTAAGTGTGGAGAGAGAGGCCGGCTAGTTTTGTAAGTTGCACTAACTGCTCAGAACATGAGAACTCGACTGGCTCCTGACAGCAGCAGCCTGGCCCAAGCATTTTAAGCGGTCAGGCCACACAGAACACAGGAGGAAACCCTACTGATTTCCTTGCCCTTTCAGTAGCCAAGGGCAGCTGTGGTGGTGAGGTGGAGTGGGGGTGAGCAGGGAAGGTAGAGTAGGGGGAGCTTGACTAAATTCTCTAAGCTGTCAGCTGCTGGCCGTGTGGCAGTACTCACAGCACCTACCTGCAGGGCCTCAGACCAGGGCTTCCTGGGTCAAGCCTCTACCTAGGCTGCATTTTGTTTTGTGCTTTAGTAACTGGAAGCTTGGTGCCCTGGGGTTTAGCCTGTAATTCCAGAAAGGGTAGGACAGGGCCCCAACTGGAGGACTGATTGATGCCTTTCCTAGTGTGGAGCAGTATGCACACTGTCAAATAGCTACAATGCCAATATATGTCCCCAGGAAACCCAAGTTGGGTGATTTGGCTCAGCATTGATTAATATCTTGACAATGTACTGAACTTAAGACTGTTTGACAGCTCCTTCCTTGTTTAGTGACTGTTTGCCAGCTCCTTCCTTGTTGGGTGTGTGGAAGTGATGAGCATGCCTTCCTGGGCTCTAGAAGTTTATGTCCAAGCAAAACTGCAGGGGCTTACCTGGCTGGGTTTAGCTCCCTTTCCCAATGGGTGAAAGTTTTTCATGTTGCAAAAACCCTTTAAAATGAAGCAACTGCTGTGATCAGTTTCCAAATTCTTCATCAGAACCTGAAAGAAGCCCCTCTGGCCATATGGTGTTCAAATCTTTGCTGTCCTGTGTCAGAAGGTATCTTATCTCAAAATACTGAGACAGTAAACATTCGAGTATAGAGGCCCAGTGCTGCTACCTGAAGGATAGGCTGGACTTTGCTGCTGGTTGGAATGAGAGGATCCCCCAGGATGAGCTGATGGGGAGTAGACTTTGGTGCTTGCCTGGAGAGGGTCAAGGATATGTCTGTGTGTTCACATTGGAAAGAGACACAAAAGAACTCTTGGGTGCTAGAGCCCACAGAGAGGCTTCAGTGATGCCAGGATCCAGGCATGCATTTCCAAAGATCATACTCATTCTTTTCCCACTAGGAGAGTGATACTTAGTGCCCTGTTTTTGCTGCTTGTTAGCAAACCTGGATGACTGCATAAACCCCTCTCCAGCTACCCTTTTGAGGTTCTTGTTACTCACTAGGAGAATGAAGTCCTTCAGCCTTAGTGTGTGTGTGTGTGTGTGTGTGTGTGTGTGTGTGTGTGTGTGTGTGTGTGGCTGTGGACATCCAGCAAATAGGATTTCACAGCTCCATTTTTCCTGAGCCACCCAGACAGGCTGGCCTCCAGGTAGTGGTCCAGGTCACAAGAAATGAGGTGGCAGCTATGAGTGGGAATACAATATGCCCTAGACCCAAAGGATTATGAATGAAATGGCTATGATGGGGACAGCCTTGAGGCCAGGCAAGGGAGGAAAAATGGCTTATCCTTAGGAAACCTTGTGACCTTTAGGGCTAGTCAGGACAGGTGCCACCAGCTTCTCAAATATGCTTAGGTTCCCCTGGAATGGCTCATGAACAGCAGGGGGTAGTGTCTCTCCCACTGTACTTACCAGGCACTGTTGGGATCTGAAGGTGGGAAGGAGGGGAACAGATGACCATGGAAGGAAGGAGAGAAACAAGCTATGGGCCAAGGAAGAAAATAAAGACCATCTTTAGGGAGGAAGTAGGAGAAATGGGGACTGAAGAGTAAGCAGTCCTCCCCTTAGGTAGTGGAGACAGATAAGGAGGGGACTCAGTGGCTGATTGGCTCCCTGAGGGCTAAGAGCAGAGATGTGGAATAGGCTTGGTGGGTGGCATATATAGAAGAATCTTGTCAACTGCTCTCTCGCTGAGGCAATAGGTAGACAGGTAGACAGATGGATGGGCAGACAGACAGGCAGGCAGGTAGACAGACAGATGGGAAGTGCAGAAAGATGACAGTGAAAAATGTGTTGGAAGTCAGTGGGTAGATAAGGGTAGAGCAGATCTATGTGTATCCTATATCCATTCTTCATATTGTTTAGAGGAAGGAAGACATTTCTGTTCACCTGGCCATGGCCAAGGCCATTCTATCCTTAACTGATTTGGTAGAGCCTCCTGTGGCCAGCTAAAGGAGCCCTGAGTTCTTTTTTAGCTCTATTTAGGTATGCCAGGAGCACTGATTGCTTTCCATACCAACAGTGGCAGGTGTTAGTGTATATCTGTGACTCAGGTGGGTGGTTCAGGGGGTATACAAGCTGGAGGTGCATGTGGCCAGTGGTTTGAAGAAGGGATATATGTGCACACACATCTATGCTGTTCCTGATGTGTGTGCACACATCATAAGGGCCCTTATCCTTTCTGTAAAAGGCAGAGTGGCCCAAAAGAAGAGCTTAAGGAAGAGGAAGGGTACCTCCCACTGGGGACCTCTCACCAGTTCCTAAAAATTAAATAAAAGAAAGAAAAGAACAGAAAGAAATCAAGCAAAAAGAAACCCGAAGAGTCTGTGATGGGGAAAAAGGTGAAGTAGTTAATGCCTTCCGTCTGCGTGGGAGTGGCATGTTCACGAAGGGTGCTGCATGGGACTCACTGGAAGGAAAGGAAAAACTTAGCATTGAATGGTCCCAGCAGAGGCCTTGGACTCATACTCGAAGGTTTACTGTTGACTTTTTGAAACCTCCCAACTTTGTTGCCAAAAGTAGGCAAGCCCCATGTGTGTGCCCCCGCCTCCATGTGGTTGCCTGCATTCTCTCCTGTTGGGGGCATTGTAGAGTGACAGGTTCAGCAGTCTAGTGCCTCTTCTTAGTCTTTGCAAAAAGATGTGAGAAATTATGGAAGCTTCTGTCTAGTCAGGCCAACCCCAGGGTTCTCTTCAAAATGTGAATTGCACGATGGGAACTTGCCATTGAAATGTCCTGGCTTCTCTGAGGAAGGAGCAGAGAGGATTGCACAAGATTGGATTCAGATCCTCCAGTACTGAGGCCTGTTTGGAAAGAGCAAGATGCTTGGGGACACACAAAACAGCACCTGCCTGGCCTCTGAGCTCTTGTTACCAGGGTGCCTCTACCAGATCCTGGCTCAGGACGGGGCCTACAGGGCAGGCACCAGCTGCTCAGGAGAGCCCACCTGGGGATTGGAGACAGGGGCATCCTTTGGAAGCCACCTCAAGGACAATGCTGGAAGTTGTCACTTTCTTCTCTGAGGAGATTGGCTGGATTCTTCTGCTGCAAATGATACCACACTGTGGGCCTTTGCCTACCCCAGAAGGGTAGCCCTGAGCCACATGCTTTCCTGACATTCATCCCAGAACATGGAACAAGTCCCCGGCCTGACACCAGACACCACTGGAAGAAGCTTGAGTTCATGAAGAACCATGGGTACATGCAGACAAATTCAAGAAAAGAAAACCAATGGTAGCAGGGGAACTAAATGCAAACCAAAACCCAAAACAAAGCAAAGGACGAAAGGCCCGGCAGTGCTGTGGGGTCATTTCTTAAGAGAATATGGCTTTGGAGAGACCCTGTCTGGTGGTAAGGACTGGACAGGGCAGTAAAGAAGGAACAGAAAAGCCACGGTGAGCAGAAATGCAAGACTGGAAAAGAGAAGGCAGAGTCAGGGAGGCTTTATCTTCCCCCAGGTGCCATTTATGAGAGAAAAGGGAAGTCAAGACTCACTGCCAGCAGCGCTGGTGGGCTTGGCGGCAGAGAGAGTTACGTGAGTAGGGGTAGAAAGATTGGTTACGTCATGGAGCTGGCTGAGGACCGAAGACCGCCGGCGCACAGCACCCTGAAATGACCCGCTTCTCTTGAAGGTACTCACTACCTCCATCTGTGGGAGAGAAAATGAGATAAAGGTTGGCTTGCATGGAGGTCCAGGCTACCACACAGGGTGGGGCTGGGTGAGGGCAGGGGCCACACTAGGGACATATGGGGCCAGCAAAGCTTCAGTTAGGTTAGCCCCATCCCTGGAAGCTGACAATGCTTTTGACAAAGCCATGATTGAGACAGGATTTGCTGGGCAAATGGTTAGTGGTCAGGAGTGTGGGAGGGAAAGGTCACCAGTGGAAACACACTGCAAACATTTTGTAGGTAGTCACTTGCATTCACGATATGCTCATCGAGAGCTACCAGTCAGTAAGTACCTGTGTCTGGCAATACTTCCTTATCCTACTTCGGTAGTTCTCAACATTTTTTTCCGCCCCAACACACCTGAGGGATATGACATGCTCTTATTAGAAAAAGGAAGCATTCTCCAGTTGTGTGTGGGCTGGAGGCTCTTGCCTGGATCCCTGGGAAATACTGCCCTTGTTCATGGTCCTCTTAGCAGAGGGTCTCTTGCTCTGTCCTGTTCCACTGATGGAGGTGGGTAGATAACCACCCAGATTTCTGCAGCTCATTGAAGTAAGGGGACTCTCAGCAGTAGATAGACATAGGCAGAAGAGGGGTTTCCCAAGCACAGGCTTTGTCTTGTCAGAAACTCTTCCCACAGGCCCCAGGCATGAGGGCTGGGAGGACTAGGGGGACAACTGTGCCTTCTGTCTTGTCCCCACCCATAACTTGAGCTTCCTAGAAGATAAAGGGGAAGTAAATATGTGGAACATGAGACCCATGGGAGGACCTTGTGGATAAATCCTGCTGGAAACCTCTTCACTCATTGTCTTTGGATTTTCTGACCCTGTCTTTGACTATGACTATACAGGAAGTAGGATTTGAATGAATTGTAGCTGAGTAACTATATCCAGTGTCATGGCATTGGGAGACCACATGCCTACACTCTGGGAGGCCAGAGGCAAGGCATACTGGCAGCCTCCTCTCAAAGAATGGCTAAGTGGGGAGAAAATTTTTGAGGGGGACTCCAACTTCTGGAAAGTACCATGTAGTTTATTGACTAATATAAGCAGACAAGCCAATACACATTTCTGGAATCCAAAGACCCTTTACTGCCTGGCCCACCCCAAACCCTTCAGTGGAAACTCAGTGGCCTCCAGTCTTGTTCTGACAAGGCTTCTCCAAAAGAAGCAGCTTCATTGTTGACACCTTCCTCCAAACAAAATGCCTTTCAACTTCAGACCCATTGTGGAAAGACTTGTCATCCTTCCATTCAACCTGCCCAATGCTGCTTTTCACCCAGCATGACCCACTTTCTCACTCCTTTCCTCAAGAGAAGGCAGGCTTCGAGGCTCTGAATGCATCTGTGAGGAATATGTTGTACACATGGTTGGGTATTTCATGGAAGGAAGATGTTTGATGCAGTGGTGTTGCAGACTCTGTGGTGTGGGGTTGCTTCCTTAAATTTCAGTGTTGCAAGGCTATAGAAAAGACAAGGGGTGGGAAATCTGCCCTTGTTGCCTCAGTTTTGCATCAGTCTCCATGATGTTTTCTGTGATGTCCCCGTGGGATAACCTATCTATGAAAATATCACCATCACCACCCTACCCCCACCAGAGGCACCAGAACTGGTCAGGAGCAAGGGCTCAGTCATTGGTAAAGAGTCTCATTAATTTATAATGGAATGCAAAAAAGACAGACCACGTCATGAACATTCAAAAAGCTACATGCTCTAGGTTTGAGGCACTCTCTTTTATTGCAGAACAGCACCCTGGCATCATGTGCATTGATACATTAGCATAGAACAGTGGTGAGAGCTGGCATCAAGTTACTTTGCAACAGAAAATGTTGTGCAGGCCTCCGAAATCCGGGGAGCAATTTTGTAGTTCACAAGATCCAGAAATCTGGGGACAGTTGCCTAGAAAACACATACAACCTGAAGAGCCTTCCACAGGCTTTAGTTCTGTTTTTCTAGTTGAATCAAATAGAATAAGTTGAGCTAAAGTGACTGGTTCAGTATTCTTGAGAAGCATGGTGAATCTGACATAAAGCCACCTTGAAAATCCATGGGAGTTGGGAGGTCAGTGTGGCTTTACTGAGGACTGAGAAGTGTGCTTGAGGAACTGGTACTAGCCCTGGCTCTCACTGACTGATTTTGGACCACTCCCTCTTTCCCTGGGATTCCATCTCCTTGCTTGTAAAGCATCTACATGGGCATGGAACAGTGAGAATGGCACGGAACACTACGACTCCAAGTGGTGGGACCCACTTCTTCTAGTTGGGTAGCAGTGGCATGCCCAGGACCTTAAAGACACACCAAGATACAATATACATTGGTGGCCAGGCTACCACTGATACTCTACGTTGGGGTAGAGTTGCTGTCTCAGCAGGTAGAAATGCTAACTCTATCTTGAATTACATGACAGAAGTAAAAGAAAGAGGCTGATGTGGAGTAGGGTCACTGCTGTATTCTATTCCTGTGCTTTGCATCAGAACTGAAGCATGAGAGATAAGATCTGCCCTGAATCAGATCAGGATGGGGTACTGGGGATGGTCACATTCATAGTCTTCTGGAAGGCACAGTTAGGTGGCCACATGCACACTGGGAAGATATGAGGGCTATTTTCTGACATTTGTCATGCATTTATGCAAGTGAGTAAACATTTATTGCAGGAAACAAGTCAAAGCTACTTATGCTGCAGCCATGCCTGCCCTGGGCACTGTGTTGAAGGTATTGGCTCACCTCATGGGGAGAGGAGGCTTGGGCTAGGGATCTAATGGTGGCTCCCCTTTTCCTAGGCGCCGTGTGAATCATAGTTAGGGTAACATGACTCAGATGTGGACCCAGTATGTTCCTCCCTGGACACACTGGAGTAGGTTCTCAGGATACTTGGTCCTTGAGGAATGCCTTAAACTTGGACTTTTTTTGGTGCCACCTCACTCAGTCCTGAAGTATCTTGCTCTCTAAGTAGTTCCCCCAAGGAATTCTGGCATGCTCAGATTCAGTGTCCTGGCCTCAGTTACACAGATTGCCCATAGTGGTAGGAGGGGGTAGTATGTAAGAAGAAGGCATAGACTTGGGGACCTTTAACTAGGGTTTTATAGCATGGAAAAGAGCCCCAAGGGTACACAGCAGCAAGCAGGGAGGCACAGCAGTATTGGTGGGCACGGCTCACACCTGGAAAAGCAGCACAGTGTCATAGGGATATATAGAGAGGAGAGAGGTGATGCCAAGAAGTTGGAGCTTAAAGACAAAAGTCAGAAGCTGAAACTTCATCCTATTGATAATGGAGATGAACTCCACAGGCCCGAGGGTGTCTTCAGGTGGTCAGGCATGAACAAAGACAGATGGAAGGCAAGGAATGATCCCAGTGCCCTTCCACAGGTAGGCATACCCTCAGAGCCTAAAAGGGAGAAGAGGGGCTCTCTCAGGATGGATACCATTAGATCTCTAGGGGTTGTACTGGAATAGCTATGTGTACCTTGGATCACCAAGGATAGGCCTGAGTATGAGTTCTGGCAAGACTGTTGGAAGAATATATGGGGAGGGGTGTAGAACCAAGTCCTGTCCTAGCGAGTGAGTTGTCAAACATACTCAAGGAGAATCTACCCATCTGACTCTACCTTACCTGATAAGTTCCCAGAGAGGAAAAGTGATTGTACCTACAGCAGAGGTAGTGAGACTATCATCAGAGAGAAGATAGACCTTGGATGAGAACAAGGCAGTGAGTACAAGTGCCAAAGTCATTTAGAGGATACCGGATAGGAATGCTTAGGCTACAGGTCAGTTCAGGAGGCTGCAATGTGAGGAGGTCTGGTGACCTGGTGGGATGTTTGGGCTCAGGTAGTTCCCTAGCAGGCTCTCCCAGGGATTTTCACCATGAGAGATCAGGGTTGGAGTGGGAGGTGGAGATACAATGAAGATAAAGACACAGAGAAGATGGAAACTCAGAAGGAACAGCAAGCTGTCAGGGCCAGCAACACTTCTCTCTCGTGATTGTACTGCCCACCGCTCCCACTATCTAGAGAGGCTCTTGAACAGTAATTATAGCAGACTCTAGTGAACAGAGCTAGCCAAAGGCTCCTTGAAATGGACTTTTTATTCCCACACACCCAAATGCATTTTGCCTATTACCTGAACAGCCCTTGCCAAGAAAAGCAGACAGTACTGTTTTGTGCCCCTGTTTGTGCCCATAGAGAGCCACTAGATGCTGGTATGTGTTCTTATCCAGCTATGAGAGAAGCTACAAGGGCACTGAGGAAAGTGTCAGGGAGTGGTGATCTAAGTGACCAGCCAGTGGTGGGCATCACTATGTGGCAGGAGGGGAACTAGCCTCTGCACACCTGGGAGCCAGATCCAGGGAGTTCCCTGCTGCCTTTGGGGACTGTATGCCCAGTTTCTGCTTCTTGTCTGCTTTTTTAAGGCAGTGAAATAGGAGTCACGTGAACAGCAGCTTACCTGTGTCTGGATCCGGTTGAGGCCCCGGAACCAGAGGATCTGGCCCCTGCGGAGCTCTCGCTCAGCGTGGTCGATTTCCTCCTCCCCCTCGGCCAGCTCCTCATCAGTCATCTCGTCCTTCCCAGGCCCATGCCCTGCTTCCTTCAGGCACTTGAGCTGGCTGGTGGGGATAGTGGCAATGACCTGGGAAAGCCACAGTCAAAGAGCAGCAAACAGAGGTGGCCATGAGAGCAGGCTCTATTGTGGCCAGGAATAAATCAAAGGCCCCATCTCTCAGAAATAAAGCCCACATCCAGGGCTTGACAGACCCTAAACTGCCCCCTTCCTTGTAGCAGACTCCTGCTCTATTGAGTCTTATCCAGGGCCAGGGAGCAGAGAAACCAATGTACATAATACCATGTGAGAAAGAATGCTTGCTTTTGGACACTCCTGAGAAGTACTTGAAGTGCCTGGGGGCATCCTTCCTGAGAAGAGTGGGCTCAGTTGGGACCTTGGGCCACCTGCTAGTGTATGAATTCCTTATGGGACACAGAGGGGATGGGTACTGAGGCCAGTCATCTGACTACTGTATAGTACACTCAGTATACCCATGTGATTGGCCTAAAAGAAAAAAACTGCACACCAGTACTCATGTGAGCTTCCTAGACGATAGCATTCCACATCTGCTGGCCTTCATGGTTGCTGAAGGAAAAGCTATCTGCCATGTTCTCTGAGATTGAGCCCCATTGAAGCTTGTGCCTGACATTTCTTGGAGAAAGAATTACTTAGAAAAGAACTTGTGAGACGCTTCCAGGGAGGAAGAGGTGACAAGAAGGGAAGGCTATGATGTGCCTTTCACTGTGTCCCTCTTAGGTTCCTGTCAGTATGACAGGAGTAGCTTTAAGGTTCTTCAGAAGAGATTCCTTATTTTTAGAGTTTTGTCACTTTTGCATGTGTATTACTTTTATAATTAAAAATACCCTGAGCTACAGGCAGGCTGCATGTACCCAGGGGAGAATTGCAGCAGATAATTACATCAAGGAGTTCAAAAGTTAGCTACAGGCTGACATGGTCAGGGCAGAGTGGAGGATATGGAGTCTAGGCTGTAGAACATGAAGGGACTCCATTTGACTGCCAGAACAAAGTGTGACAGTAGGGAGGTGCAGTGATGGAAAGGAAGAGATTTTTTGAAAATTCAATGGAAAACCTGTGTGAGTTGTCTATGATGATTAATGCCATAGTCAAAGTAGTATTTGTGGCCAGTTTGGTAGGAAACACACACCAATAGATAAAGAAACAAAATTCATAGTGTTATAACCTAAATGGTACCTCCTTACCCTCTAGTGGTAAGACCTGACCATCAGTTTGGAAGTTTTTGGAGGAGGCAGATAATAGAGGCTAAATGAAGTCTTTTGGTTGGAGTCTTGATCTCACCAGATTTGTGCCCTTAAGAGAAGAGATACCAGAGAACTTCCTAGGAACACATAGTGACAAAGTAGCTAGCCAAAAGCCAGGAAGGGACCCTTACCAGACACTGAATTGACTGCCCTTGATCTTAGACTTCAAGTTTCTAGAGCTATGAGAAAATACATGCCTACCATGGAAACTGCCCATCTCTAATAGTTTGCCGTGGCAGCCTGGGCTGATCAAGACCTAAAGAGAAGTAGATCCTGGACATGGCTTCCCATAGCAGTGTTCCTGAACTCTGGAGAAAATACTTTCAGTGCAGCATGGAGGGGGCTGGCTTGGCGCTTAGGATTGTATTGGCTGCTGACACCCAAGATGTTGCTTCCTCATCTCATCACTGGGTGCTGCAAACTGTTGCTTTTGGGCAGCTGTGACTTTCAGGTCTGAAAGTATTGTCCTGTCACTTCCCATTAACTCAAAACACCTCATTTTTCTCAAGTTCTCTTTACCCCACAGATTTCATAACAGGGTATTGTTTAATTTCAAATATATTGGGACATTCCAAGACCCAGAGGCTGGCCCTCCTTCCATTTTGTTTTTTTTTGCACTGTTGGGGATGGAACCCAGGACTTTATGAAAGCTAAGCAAGTGCTCTACACTTAGATACACTGTAGTTCTTCAAATATTCAGGTTTAGGGGGCATTTTTTAGCTTCCACTATGGAGAAGGAAACTGGATAATTTCCCAGGATAGTGTGACATTTCTGCTCTATGTTCTCATTCCTGAGGTTATCACTTGTGACCTTGCCTCCAGGTTTTAGTATGTCATAGGTATGAGCCTGACCATACATCACTCACTTTCCAGGTCATAGGCTTCAAGACTGTGAGGCAGGGAGTGGGGATAGTGGGAAGTATAGGTGAGACAGGATGCCTGTCTTCTTACCAACTCTGAGGGCCATGAACAGAAGCAACTATAATGAAAGCATCAGTGAGAAAGTTGATGAGGCAGACACTCACCTGTCCCCAGACCAGCTCCCCAACACCAACAAATAGGCACCAGAGCCACTGTTCTGTGGACAGTGGGGAACAGCTGAAGGGCTTCCCACCAAACTGGACGATGACAATCTGGGGGAAGGAATGGAAAGTATTGGGCAGAGGAGTAGTGTATTACCAGGGTAGCTCCTGACTTCTTTGTGTCATGCCCAGTCCTCTACAAATCCTGCCTTCCAGATTGACTTTGTCTCCTGGGAGCCAGATCAGCCTGGTCATAGACAAATGTTTGCTGGCTTCCTGCCTTTTGGCAGACCCTGGGAAACGTGCTGGCATTCCTTCTCAGGTTATTCCCTTCTTTTGCGCCTTAACAGGTGCCTAAAGATGGCTTCATAGACTAGCTGGCCACAGGCCAAGGGTACCAGGATTAGGTCAGTGTATATCTTCACATGCTAACACCCACACCCACCTACCCTCTGGTGCTTGCAGCCTCCAAGTGAGTCTCAGATGGAGCCATCTTTCTAGCTTCAGCAAGGCTGTTTTCATATTTGTCTACTCTGCATGACCCTATAGTATGAGGGTCACCATGCCTTGGCCTCTTGCCATCCTTGCTGTCTACTTTAGGAGAAGTCCTACACCCAAGGGCAATATTTTCAAATGCTAACCAACCAATCTATAGTGTATAAACCAACCTATCTCAGAGCCAATTTCCAGGCAATCAGGGCCAGTCTATACCCCATGGTGGGCTGAAATGATTTCATGCTTAGCCAAAATGAAGTCTGTTGACCCCCTCAATAATTTGATCCTGTGAAACCACAGTAAAATTCCCCTCTCACTTGTTCATTACTGGCATTTGGGTCTGTCTACCAAGGTCTAATATGCCCCGTCTTGGGATCTGTGAAAAGTGAACTACATTTGTATGACAGTCATTTTCTGATTTGTGGGACATACTATAAATGAAGTTTTGTTTGAAGACAGTATACTTTAGAGCATTCAGCATCTCCTGGGGAGTTGAGCTTGTCAACCTGTCCACAGTGTTGTGGCAGCCAAAGTTTAACATGTCAACTGTGTGCACAGCAAGCATTTCCTAAAGAATCTCTATAGGTATAGAACACCAAGGGTTTAGGTGCTAGAAATGGAGATGGTTGACTCAGACAGAGCCAGGGAAGAATATTTGTAGCAACCATGTGAGCATGATGGAAGGATAAAGGCCTTCCATAATCCCCCGGAAGCTAGCAGGTTAGACCAAAATGAGCCTGCAATGTTTGGAAGATGAAGAACACCTGCTCTACAATGCAGAAGAGATTTGGGGACAGGGAGGCCAATATCAGTGCCTCTACAACTTTGCGTCCTACCTGAATTCCAAAGGTGCCCAGAACAATAGTACAGAAGATGGGGTTGCTGAAGATGCCATCAAAGACATTCCTCTCACCATGGATCTTTCGAGCATTGATTTCATTGAAAAGCTGCATCATGACGAAGGTGTTGAAAATGATAGTATAGTGCTCCGAGGGTGGCGAGTGCAGGGGTGCATTCCTTCCACTGTCAATGTCAAAGAAGAGCTCTCCTGAAGGGAAGAGAGAGGCAGGGGCTGAGGAGGGTGATCTCTTAGTACCAGTGGACAGTTTCCTTTATCAAGTCTGCCCTTAGAGATGTGCAGTAGGGCACATGATGAAGCAGGGAGGTGTGCATCAAAGGTATAGAGAAAGCTTGTTCTTTTCAGTCTGTAAGTTCTGTGCCAGACTGAGGATACAGACAGGGCCTAAACATGAAGCCACATCAACAGGGCCCCAAAAGCCTTGTATTTGGGCTGAAGTGTGTGCCTCTGGTTCAACTTACCAACAAACAGCAAGGTAAAGATGATGGTAAGCTGGTAGACAGCATGGCCAAGGATGTTCTTCATCATGGTACGTGAGATGAGCGGCTTGTCCCGGCCATATGGCTTCCCCCCCAGCAGTGACTCATTTGGGGGCTCTGTTGCCAGGGCAAGTGAGGCAAATGTGTCCATGATCAAGTTCACCCACAACATCTGCACAGCTTTGAGAGGAGAGTCCTGCAGAGAGGGGGCAGTCACTTTTCTGTGGGCTGATCATGAAGGACCACACAGAGTAACCTTGGGATGGTAGAATATGAAAGCATGCCACTACTGAGGAGAAACTCAGTTTTGCCAATGTTATGGGAATCTCATTCACAGAAGCCTGTCACACAAGTTTACTCAGGTTTGCAGATGTTCGTCCACTAGGCTTCCTAATTCCTGCCTATAACCGAGCATTTCCAAGACTGGAGAGGCAATGCAGGAGTGGCTGCTAATGGGTATAAGTTATCCTCTGACCACGAGAATATTCTGAGAGTAAATTGAGGTGATGGTTGTACATACAACACAGAATATGCCAAGGTATACAATTCTGCACTTTCAAATGGTTGGGATGGTTGTCGTAATGTTACTCATACTTGACTTAGATATCAAGACAAAGTTCCTGAGGGGCTGGGGAGTTACCTCAGTTAGTAAAGTGTTTGCCTTACAAGCATTAAAACCTAAGCTCAACCTCTAGAATCTGTATGAAAAAAATCTTGGCATGGTGGTGTGAATTTGTAATCTCAGTGATGGGAAGATGAAAATGTGAGATTTCTAAGGCTTGCTGCCTAGCTAGCCTGTCCTACTCAGTGAGGTTGGGGTCGTATTGTAAGTCTGTCTCTCAAAAAACAAGGTAGAAAGCTTTCAAGGAATACCAGAGGTTGACCTCTGACCTCTACATGAATGTGAATGCATGTGTTATATACACCTTGCTTCCCCTTGAAAGGACCAAGCTCATCACCAAAAATAGTTAGCTACTTTTTGCCAGTAAAGTCAACCATCCTTAACAAGAAATCAATAAATTCTGGCCTCCAACCAATGGGGAAGATGAAAACACTGAGAAAGCGGACATCTGGAGTTTCTTTGTGACTCAGTCATTCTACTACCAGTTTTATGTATATCTGAGAAAGTGGAAGACATATGCATATTTAAACTTGGACACGAGTGTTCCTAGCAGCGCTACTCACAATGCAGTGAAGTGGAAGTGGCCCAAAGCTTGGTCAGCCAATGAATAACAAACAAATTGGGGCCTATTGGACGATTATGCAGCTATGAAAATGAATAAAGCACTGTCCCAAGCAGCAACATGAAAGAATATCATGAAAACATGCTGAATGAGATGTGGGGTGCAAAGGCCTTATGTCAAATCTTCAAATTGGCACAGTGAATAATGGCACAAATGTAATGGCCTGAGTTCAATCCCCTGGGACCCATGTGGTGGAAAGAGAGAACTTATTCATACAAGTTGTCATCTGGCCTCCACATGTGCACTGTAGCAATACATGTACCCCCCCACTTTGCAAAAATATAAAAACAAACCCCAAAGGCCATGTGTCATTTCATTCTACTGATACAAATTATGTACAACAGGCAAATAGAGGCAGGAAAAAGTGGCAGTTGTCAGGGGCTTGGAGGGGGATGGGGAATTGACTGCTAGTAGGTGAAAGGTTTCTTTTGGAATGGATGAATGTGTTTAAGAACTAGATAGAGGTGATGATTGACACCGAGTATACTAAAAATATCTATTAAACAGTTACCATGAAAAGATAACATTTTTGGTATGTGAATTTGATTTCAATAAAAAGAATCTGCAGCAGACAAAACATTTTCTCTAACATGGTTCTCTTGAGCCCACACTACTGCCCTTAGAAACCAACTGCCTCCTGTAGGTCCCTAGTGCCCACCTGAGTGATGCAGGCACCTGTGAAGGCCACAATCACAGCTACCACATTGACTGTCAACTGAAACTGCAGGAACTTGGAAATGCTGTCGTAGACGTTGCGGCCCCACATGACTGCCTTGACAATGCTGGTGAAGTTGTCATCAGTCAGGATGATGTCAGAGGCCTCCTTGGCCACATCAGTGCCTGCAATGCCCTGGGGAATGATACACAAACACAGTGCTCATTTCTCAGTCCTTCCTTGGCCACCCAGCCCAAATAAGGCCTTAACTGAACAGCACTTGTTTTAATGTAACACTTTCTATGCTGCTAACTGCATGTTGTCATATGTGCTGGTGAGGGGGCCTTTGCTGTTAAACAGCATGGTTGCTAACAACATGGCCATTTATACAGTCTTCCATAAGGCCCAGCTACCACTGGGTGGCTACTCAGCAGTCCTTTATCTGGCTACCCGAAGAAGCCCTGAGAAATCTGGGCTGTCTGTCTGGGTAGGGTAAAGGACCCATCGCATGGCTACATGGCAGACTGTTGCTGCTCCACACAAGCTTGGACACAGCAATAGACATGAAGTCTGAGTAGCCCTCACCCACTCCATCTTGTGTCTGGTCTGTGACACCAGCCACCTTGGGAAGCTCAGCTTGCTCTCTACTCCAGGTTGTGAGATCCAGGAATGCCGTACTTCCCCACCCCACCACTGAACCAAATATGGACTGAGTGAAAGGTCCTTCTTTCTGATAGGGTGGGGAAAGGTAACACAAGGCTGTGAGTTTGGGGCAGGGCTCACTATATAGGCAGTGCCTAGAAGGCCACACTGCTCAGTAAGAAGAGCTATATCTGTATGAACAGAAAGAGAGAGATCAGAGGAAGAACCCATTGTGGTCTATGCTCATCACTCTTCGGGCCAGGGGCTACTTGGAGTGGACTGAGAATAGGTGATGGTGGGCAGATGCTATTGTTGACAAGCTTCTGTAAAATGTTTCTCCCTTTCTTCAGTGATGCAGTTGGACTCTACTGTCACCTCTGGTGTCTTCATAACAAATGTCTTTAAACAAATCACATATACACTTGTTAATAGTCAGAGCCCATACAGCCCCAAGAGGTCAAGATGTGAGACAAGGAAGCTTCTGGCACTCTGTCACCTGCCCTGACACTGGCTCTCCACTTTCTGATGCAAAGTTAAGTCCAGGAGAAACAGGAGTTCATCTGTGTGATGAAGTGGTCTGGTATCAGGTGACTTACCATGGCAAAGCCGACATCTGCCTTTTTAAGAGCTGGCCCATCGTTGGTGCCATCTCCAGTCACGGCCACCACCTGCCGCTGCTCACCAGTTGTGCTGTCGATAATGCCTGGAACACAGAGTGGGTTAGGGTAGGGTTGAAGCTATCTGCCAAAGGTTGGTATGGGCTGCTTCTGTGCTCCTGGTCCCTTATGGTATCTAGTTCTCAGGCTTTAATGGGATAACTCCATCCCCCTATTTCCATCAAGGTCCTTTGCTCAGTAACATAGGCTGCCATGATTTGATAGAATGATTGTCTCTGTGTCCCAGCCTTAGTTTCAATGTAAAGTGAATAAATGAAATACCCAAAGACTGATATTGGGATTCAAGCTTCAAGTTTAAGATTACAGAAGCAAAGCAGCTGGTCACTAGTTCTTACCTCTACCTCAGACCAAAATGGCTGATCCTGTCTCCACGAATCCTCAGAGGCAAAAGCTCTCAGTTCCTGTCTCCTCTTACTTTTTATTCCTCTGTCCACTCAGCCATATCACTTCTGTCTGCACCTCCCTAGTGCTGGGATTAAAGGCTTGTGATTCCAGGTGCTGAGATCACCTTTGTGTGAGTTGTTTCTCTATAACACTGGATCAATCTCTTGTGGCCTTGAACTAACAGAGATCCATCTGCCTGTCTTCTGAGTCCTGGGATTAAAGGTATGTTCCACCACTGCCTAGCTCTGTGGCTAACTACTATGGCTGCTGGGATTAAAGCTGTACATCAGCATTGCCTGACTTCTATAGCTTGTGGCAAACTTTAATAAATCATAAATAATATATCACCACATTTCCCCATTTGTTCCAATGAGGGAGACGCTTCTATGACTCATTATTAGGTTGATATTTTCTAGTCATTGGTCTTTAGAATCTTCCACTCAAGAATCTAAGAGCAGGTGACAACATGAAGGGATGCCAGAGGCAACCACATGTTGAAGAGGGTGAACACATTGGTTACCTTTGACCAGAGTGTGTTTGTCAGTGGGAGATGACCGGGCGAGCACCCGCAGCTTGGGCCACACCTTGTCCAGCCGCTCCTGTTCTATCTGGAGGAAATAATGGAGACATCAGAGTCCAGGCTTCAGACAGGCACTGTGGCTGGGAGGGATGGGAAGATAGCAGAGGGATTGGAGAAGCAGCAGCCCAGGACAGAGATTTAGGGAACTACCTCGCCTTTCTCGTTTCGAATCCTTCTGTTGAATTCCTTCCCCTCCAGGCACAGGAAATCTTCACCTGGCTGGATGATGCCACACTTAGCTGCAATTGCCCGGGCAGTGTTGATATTGTCTCCAGTTACCATACGGACTGTGATGCCAGCACGCTGGCATTTGCGAATGGCTTCAGGGACCTGAGAGATATAAGAATGGTGGCTAGGGTTGGGAAGACAAGCCCATATTTTGTGTCTGGTGCAGATATGCAGGATCCTAAGTCCCAGCAAATCTGGAGAGAGTCACCCAGGGTCCAGGTGCAGCCACTACTCCAAGGCCCATCCACACATGCAGTTTGTGAGTGCTCAGCCTCCTACCAGGTGGCAGGAACACCAACTCCAGAAGATACCTTTCCTTGTAGGACACACCGTTCTCTCCTTGTCTGATTTCACCTGTTCCCTATTTTCTCCTCAAGGCCCCCATATCACAGCAAGGAGCAGACGTCTGTAGAAGT